CTCTTGAAAAGAATTTCTCACGAGAGAGAGAGAATCGGTTGAAAAAAAAAAAAATGGCTTGATGCAATAATGACAGGTTGAAGGTCGACCGTCGAAGAGAGTGTCTAGAAAGGGCTAATGGTACTCGAAGTGACAGGTCGACCTTAACCAACCTAGTCTGATACATATCTATCCTAAATCAACACGGTTCTCGGCCAGAAGCCCGCCATAATGCCCACGCTTCTTTTTATTTAATGTTTGGCTTTACGTTCTTCTCTATTCTTCAATTTGTATTTTGCTTGGTCGAATCGCAAATGTAAAATATAGTCGAGAAATACGAATAATCTATATAATTTTGTAAAACTAGAAATAACATGGAAAAATGTTATTGTAATCGCCGTAGAAGGGTCGAAATAATTATTAATTATTCCGATATCGAATCGTTCGTAATTTTCACGTGGAAGAAAAATAAATTTTGATATAACGAAAATCATAACGAACTTTTGAATACGCCTTAGCGAAGGCGTATCCTTCGAAATCTCTTTCAAGCATGATTTGTAAAAAAAAAAAAAAAAAATTTCAGAAAATAGAAGAAGCAATCCGGACCAGGTATAACGCCTCTCACAATCCTTAGAAAAGTTCTATTGTATAGAGATATAGAAGATCTTTGAAAAGTTAAAATGGGAAGACATCTCACCACTTTTTGCTATTATACGATAATTCCGCTGGTCCTGTTTCAAGTTGTCCCCAAGTTTTAACGTCTCGATCCAAATATCTCTAGCGTGAAATCGACGAAAGAGATTAATCTTTCTTCGATTAATCGCTCTCGCGATCGGGACGAAATCGATTTTATCTGTATGATTTTAATACGAAGATACGAAAATAGGGAGCTACTTAATGGTAATAGATACGTAGATAAGTAATATCTATTATTTACACGAGCATAAGTATACATAAGTTTGTCATTTTGAAGCGAAACAGTTTTATTTACGTGTACGATTTCATATACCAAGAGAAATATATTTGAGCTTTCTTTCAACGCGAGTTCTATCGTTCTGTCGTATATTTTCATCCCTAAAACTCGTGGAAGCGCCCTCCCGAATTCATTCTGTGAATCCGTGGCGTGCAACGAGCCACGATATGAGTAATGATGCGTGCTCGTGTTACAGGGGTGGATATGGCAAGTCATGGCTCCGAGTATCCCTATAACCCCGTACATAGGCTCACCAACCAGCTGCCCCCAAATACGTCACCCATGGGGGTTTCTCGCTCAAATACCCCGACTAACATGGCGGAACGCACACGATTCCAAATATTGATTCCCTCTTGGGATTTAACGACGACTCGAATCCTTCGAGGAACCGTTTTCCTCCACCTTCAAATTTCCTAACGCGAGAATAACTTTGAAAAAATAATTTCAAATCAACGAAATTACGTTTTATTGTCGATCGATAATTTTCACGAATGCCGAAAGTTTTTTTCTTTTTTTTCTTTTTTTTTTTTTTTTTTTTTCCCGTTAAAATAACTCGAGCAAATATTACACGTTTCTGCTTTTATCGGGAAAATGAAAAAGCTGGATAATTTTTACATTTTTTTATACTCTGAGAGCAAAAATCTTGGAAAGGGTCTGTTCTCAATTCCGTATCCACTTTGGATGAAATTAGTCACGGTTGTTGCCACGCATCGAACCACTCGGATATTATTTTTTTCTCTCTTTGTGAGCGCTCGTGACGAATCGAAGCGGAAATTAATACAACACTGGAAATAAATTGCATTCGATCGCTCTTAATGTTTCTTGCTAATTTTATCGTAGATATTGGAGGAAAGTTATATCCCCATGCAAAAAATTGCAATAAAAAAAAATATTTAAAATCTATAACGCATATATCGTATACATGTATCATCCGTAACGTCAAAAAAAAAAAATAATAATATCCTTATTATCGCCATTATTTGCATATAATTATTCGTATCGTCAAAGATTATCTATAAATTGTTTAAGATATTTTTATATAAACGCTAAAATGATTTCGCACGAAATTATTTTACGAAAAATTATTACGCGAAAGGTGAAACGAAATATTGTACGAAAATTTCCTAAAACGATATTTTAAACAAAAATTATTGGACGTAACGATCGCCTTAATTTTAATAATCGATCAACATTTTTATTTATTTTGATAAGAGAAGAGAAAACGGCACACGCCTGTAATGAAATGCGCGCACACGCATGGCGGATTCGGCCATACTTTCACGATCTTTCCCCCTTGAGATTTCCGTCGTCCACGCACGAATACGCACTATGCACCGCCCGCGCACGTGGCAGATGTTCCATTTCACGTATACTCACGCATGCGTTTTCTACCTCGTTTCCCCACCATTCGCCAATTCTACTTCTATCCTTCCCCGATCTACCAATTGAACATTCGCTCCTCTCTGCTTCCCGTACAATTTACAATTATATCGTGAACTCTATACCTTCATATATACCTTCAATTATTCGACAAAATCCTTTATCTTATCGATCGAAATAAATAACGGAAAAGAAAAGATGGTCGAGTCTTTAATTTCTAGATTTCATCGTATCGGTTCCGTTCGATATTCCTAAACCTTATCTACAGTTAACCTATCTACTTTCGATTCTACTTCCCCTATTCGATCGAATTATATTGTTAAAAATCACAGATAACTCTCTATTTCGCGTATCCACGTGTATTATCGAACGGGAACATTGTATACGAGAGAGCATTATATACATCAGGGGGAGGAGGGAAGAAACATCGCGTTGATCGAAAGGGAACGTAGGAGCGGCGCGCCCAAAAAGCGTTCGTGGTGAGACAATGCTATGATAATTTATTCCTCCTGATATAAACTTTTTAAACGAGATCCGCATCGTGTAATCCATCATGCTTCGTCAAATTGGTACAAGTACTTACTTCGTACGTTGACGGTATCATACGAAACACCTTTTTTCTCATTCTTTTACATTCGACCCTTTTTCACGAAAGCACTCGGTAGGTAAAGTAAAGTAAAGTAAAGTAACGCGGAGAGATCGCGATTCGCGTGAATTCGCGTTCGTATAACCTCGAGATACGATTACGTGTTGCGAATAAATTTACATGTAATCTCGACACATCCTTTCGAGTGTAACTCAGTGTCGGGTTGCAACAATATCGTTTCGCAATTTTTTCATCGGTCAAGATATTATGGCGTCTGATTATTCACCGAAGCTTCCGAGTGCACTGAACTTTTTACCGCATGCATGATATAACCTGCGGTTTAATGAATTATTTGTCCATTGATCAGATAAGGTTTCGTTCTTGGGGGGGGGGGTAAGTCCGTTGCGTGTCATTTTTTTTTTTCCACCACCACCACATTTTCTTAGCTTACTCGTTCGTTCGAGAAAACCCGAGTGCAATGGTTTAAATTGTTTGCAATTGCGATCATGCCGAGTTAAGCGATAAACATATTTTTTTCTTTCTTTCTTTCTTTCTTTCTTTCTTTCTTTCTTAAAGGTCTGCATCTCGGTTGGAAACCGCTGCTCGTTATTCTCTATTTTCTCTTAGTAAATCTTAAAGAATAGCGGCGCCCAAGGAATTTGTGCTTTCTTTTGTCGAGCGACTCATTAATCACACAATGCCGTACGTCGAGTCGATCGATCGACGACCAGATAGCCGCGTAATGAGCTCCGCTTCTCTTGTTAGTCTGCCTCGATGCTTTGTAAAACGAACTTATTATTGCGGAATCGAATTAATTTACTACATTTACGACGGCTCGGTGTCCCGCAACGTACTCCAGCAAACTCTAAAATTTCGGTGAAACGTTCGCTTTTCAATCTTTCGAGATAAAGAAATAACAATAATACTAATACAAATAATTTCGATATCGCTCTTTGAAAAAGATTCGTTTCAACGGGCGAATAAAAATATATAGGACGAAATAATTATTAGGAAAAATATGTTTGGAAGATTTTTTCTTTGGAAGAACGACGATAAGAAAAAAAGGGAAGAAAGAGAGGATATACACCGACATTTAAAAAAAAAAAAAAGGTTTTAACGAGCGAACCTTCGTCAAGCGTCGATACGAAACACGACGTAGAGTGGATCGCTAGGCGCACTCTCTGCTCGCCGCGACGCGACGCAAAGTAATTAAATGCGAAGAGAGAAGAGAGGAAAGCCGAGGCGAACGCGAAGGGCTGCTCGGGATGGTGGGGCTCGGAAAGGTAAGGGAGGGAAGAAGGCAGCGAGGGCGTTCCTGTAGCCACTCCCCGACCCACACTACCTCTTTCTCGATCTCGTGCTCATCTTCCACGAGCAAACGTTGCGCGCCTCGTCTTTTATTCACCATTTCTCTCCCTTTTCTTCCTACCAAAAGTGTCTCGATAAATTATTTTCACCTCGTCGCCCGACCGTATTCGTGCATTCGATGCATCGTTTTTTATTTTCTTTTTTTTTTTTTTCCCGTAAAATATCACGCTCGAAATTTGTCTCGTCTTGTCGGGGCGATGGATGGATTTCTTCTTTCTGTTTGTTCGTTTTTTTTATAAATAAAAATTTGACGCCGTTGCTACCGAATTACAGATCGACGAGTAGATTATATACGGGTTAATCGACATGGCGTTTATGGCGCTCGATTAGATTCGCGAAAGGTGCGGCCAAGTTGCGGATCGCAGCTTTAATTCGACACGCTTCGTATAGAAGGAACTATGCGCGAGGTATAATACATGATATCGGTGTATATTGGAAAGTGTGCGCGGTATTCGAACAGTGTTTTTTCATTAATAAAGATCGATAGAAAATCGAGCGTTTCGAATCAGTGCGTAAACGTACTTATTTTCTACTTTTTTTTTCCGTTCGAAACTCCTAAGAAAGAATTTTGATCGATTCATAAACGTGTATTATAATTTTATAATTTAAAATTCAAATACCTGTAAACTTATTTCATCGAGTGTACATGCTCGTTGGCATCCACTTAACTTTTTAACTTTTATCCTCGAGATTATAAAATCAATTTGCACTTACCGGTCTCGAGATCAATGGTGTAAGGGAGGCCTGCCCATGGATCATCTTGCGCTTCGTCGTATTCCTTTGTATCCTTCTGGAAACGAAATATCATGGAGCCTACTCGTTAAAGAATACATTCTTTAAATCCAACTTTTACGATAGTTACATATAAAAAAAAAAAAAAAAAAGAAAAGAAAAGAAAAAACTTAGATATATCTTTACACCAGAGAATTCTTTCCGTCCGAACCGCAATTTTTGCCGTGTCGTTTTTCTAACGAAAACGAATAACGATCGAAAGGAGGGATTCGATCACGGATGAAGTCATTCTCGAATTTAGAGGAGCAGTCGAAACCGTTTGGCCGTTTGGTTGATAATGAAAGGAGCGAGAAGGACGGCTCGGTAACAATGGTTGAATTCACTCGGATGGCATCCGAGACCGTGAAGGTCGAGGATCATAGAGACGTCATAATCAAGAACCTAACGGCAACGGTGAAAAAGAAGCGAAGGGTGCTCGTGTAGCCGAGACCGTATAGGTTGGCCGTGCGTTATACACGGGCTGCAGTGAAATGAGTTTAATGAAAATAGCATTGTACCCGGTCATTAATCATACCAACTCTCCGATAGTGGTTATCCAACCATTCCCTTTTCTCTCTCTCTCTCTCTCTCTCTTTCCCGGACAACGCTCTCCATCCCCTTCTATCGTCGTTGCTTCGCTCTCTTTTTCGTACGGCGTGATGTATCGTCGTTGAGAGATGCGTTATATACGAAGAGGTTATGAATACGAACTTCGATCGAACAACTCCCGCGAGATGAAGCTCGAACCGCATCTCTCTTTCTCCTAAATTTCCCAAATTTCTTCCCGTTCTTGGATCGGGAGAACCGCGCGCAATCGTTATCTCGGTAAATTTACTCCGATTCTGATTCTCGTTGTTGTCGATCCGCGCCGATCTCCGTGAATTGGAAATCAATGGGTCGCCAGAAAGTGTGCGCTATTACTGCCGAGTCACGCTTCCACCAATAATTCGTAACCCGTCGTGTTTTCGAATTCGCGACACTGCCGCCATTCATCCTTATTCTATATTCCAAAATTGATAACTTTGGACACGATTCGTTCGATTATTCGAACATGTGTGTTGTACATACGAAAATAGAATTTGTCTCGAGCTATTATCGTTTACGGGGGAAAGAAGGAAGGAAAGAAAGAAAAAATGATAGGCGTGGGATTTTACAAGTTTGGAAGTAATATCGAAATGCGAGAGAGTGTAACGGACAGAGCGCCATTTTATCCCTAAATTTCAGCCGACAGAAACAAGGAGGGAAGAGAAAGGAGGGCCAAACCCACTTCGGTTCGCTAGGCGCGTTTTCAATTTCCAGGACCATCAATACGTCCCTCGGAATCCCCCTGCCACGCTGCTCCAATCTCTTTGCCCCTTCTCCCTCTCCTCTCTTTTCATCCCGCTTCCCCTATCTTTTTTTCTCGCTCGCGTCCCGCGACCAACCGGCTTTCTTCTGCTTCTCACCCTAACGACTCTTCCTTCCAACGTGCTTTATCGATGCCGCCCCTTGCCTCCAGGGATGCTGTAAGTACATCTATCATTTCGACCAACCACCCTCCGCGCGATTGCATCCCGCCGACCAATATATATATATATATATTTCGATGTTTCTCCACGAATACATTTTCCTCGCCATCCCCGCCGCGATCAAATATAATGGAAGGAGAATGTACATCCCGAGTTTCATCTTAACGTTGTTTTACGTATCTATAGGATTGATAATAGAGGGAATCTGTCATCGTTGCGGACGTTTAAAATCTTAGGGAAAACGATCGATTAATTATTCGCGCTAGTCACGTTCATTGAACGTAACGTAACACGTTACAAGGGGATAGATTTTGGATCCTATATTGAATCGAGGATAAATGGAAGATTATATATTATTTCAATCGACGTGAAAACGGAAGGGATCCGATCATTTGGCGGAAATAAAGAGGGATTTCAATCGGATTTTTAAAACAATTCCAAGATGAAAGGTGGAGACAATCGTCGATACACGCGGTGAACAAAAAAGAATGGATCCTTTTTTTTCCCCCTCTTCTTCTTTCGTTCGGTGTTCGCGTTTCCATTCTCTGGATCGATGTGTTCGATTTCGATCAGGATCGAGGATATTCCCCGTATTATTGAACCCTCGAAGACGGCGGTGCGCGTTCACAAAGGTGGAACCCGTAGGAACAATACGGAGAAAGAAGCCGAAAGATAGGGATGCGAGAAAGGAATCGAAAAGAAGAGAGGGAGGAGGAGAGGGAAGAGGGAGGAGAGGAGAGGAGAGACGAGAAGAGAAGAGGAGAGACGAGACGAGACGAGAAGAGAAAGAACGTCGAGAAGTCTGATGGGTTACCCGCCCAGAACGTCGTGCAACGTCATTGTCGGTGACCATGGTATGGATGAGCTCTCGTTCGTTCGAATCTCGTGGATACTTAAACGCTCTTCGCGTTCATCGACTGAAACGCGTCCGATGAAGGAAATGGACGTTGAAAAAAATTGTAAACGGTATAGAATAGAAAGTGAATTAAATCGGCCGGGAACGCAGACAGACACGATTTTAGTTTCTTCCAAGAAAATTATCGCATCGTTGAACAAAATACAAAGGAATCGTGATTAAATGAAATTCATTGAACCGAACTACGCCTGTCAATGTATATAATCGATGTACAGAATGATTCATCTTCGATGTTAATCATTTCATTCGCGTGTTTTACACGCTTCTCTATACTAGTGTGAGTATAAGTGCTCGGTTATTAGCTCGTCGCTTAAACTTGTATAAATTTTGCATCGAATATCGAGTAAATGGAATAAAGGGAAGAGTTTCGAAATTTCGTTGATATCGTTAACGCATCACGAGGGATTTAAACGAAAGACAAGATGAGAATAGTTTGGTAGGTTCGAGATTATATCGGAAAACGCGCGGGTTGCTCGATTCTTTCTACTCTTATCTAATCTCTTTGGTGTCTGGTACCGAACACGGCCTCCATGGATTTGCAGGATTATAACTACTTTTTTCTACGTTTTTGATCGATTGGCCACGATGGAGCGCAGAGATTCGAACAAGGATTTGAAAAAGATCGTGCGAAGAAGGAACGCTGTTTCTGCTTTTGTAGAAAATTTTGAATTTTCGCATTCGAGTAATGGACTCGAATAAACGAGTATTTATTTTCTCGAACAGGATCGAATCGACTTTTACACGAAGACGAAACGAGTGGAAAAGATCGTAAGGAGATAGCCACCCCGAGTGTCGAATTCTTCTGTTAGTCCAACGAGTGGCGTCACTTTTGTTTCATGCCTCACCGTCGACTTCACGACCGATCGATACCGATCTATCGACACGGATCGCTTACCTCTCCTTCCTCCTATCTACTCGAGTATTAATACGATCGAATCTTAATCTTTTTATTTTTTTCCTCGTTGTTTCCGATCCGCTTTCCGACCAAACTTTCCAAATCATCACCGAGACACCCAGCCGATATTTCCGCCGCCAAAATAATCCTCCCGATCATCAAAGATTTAACTTCGAAAATCGAAACTTTGTAATAATAAACAGTAAGAAAAAAGAATAAGGAAAAGATTGGACGTCGAAACGATCCAACGGAAGAGGAACGTAAGAGATGTACGAATTTGAATGACACGTAAGAGAGGAGAATGTGAAAGTAAGTATTTGTACGAAACTCGATAAACAATAAGTCATTAGTCGTTAATTGCGGTCTGTAAACGAGAGAAAGCGACGCAGATTGATCAAAGTTGATTCGCGATTTGAAGTCGTTGCGAAAGATCGATTGGTTGGATTAAAAAAAACAAAAAAGAAAAAAAGGTTGGTAATTACAAATATTTACAAACCTCTTCGTTGCTTCCATTGATCGCTTCTAAAGCTTTTAATTTTTCGATCTCATCGTCGGTTCCCTTTTCCACCGTGGACACCTTCTTCGTCGCCGTAGTCGGTTCCACCAACGTGAATCCCAAATCCACGTCTTGCTTCCAAAGCACTTCGATTAAATCCATGTCCTGAAACAATACGCAATAACAATTTAAGTATGAGAATTCCTTTGAAATTTACAATCTTTAAAACACTCATCGAGTTCTCTCTCATTTTACTCGATTTAAATCTTTTCCGGAAAAGAATCGGTCGTTTTTCTCACAATTTTTCCCACAATTTTACTTTTCAGTTTTCTTACCACATTACTCGCGAGAAATTCGTAATAAAATTTTCTCTCTCGTTTCACGCAGGTAAGTTAACAACGACCAATCACCGGATCGAGTTGTTCAAAATCAAAATGATTCATTTTTGTTGCGGCCGAGATGTCCCTCGCAGGGAGTCCCATCGACGAGTGTGTGTACAAAAGTGCATGATTAATGATGCCGAGTATCGATGATGCATCTCGAAACGGATGAGATCGGGAAGGAGAAGAAAGAAGCTGGGAAAAAGGACGAATCGCATGACGGGGCACAATTGGCAGGACAGCTGGCCCGTAGCTTTTAATTGAGCCAATTTCGCCGAGTTCGTATTCAACCTCGTTAACTAATCTACAGATTTTCTTCGCTAATTTAAAACCTGGCCGTTATTACGCTCGGTGTAAGGAGTAGAGAGTAACGCCGTCTATACCTATAGTGTAATTAGATTTCGCGATTAAATTCGATTCTCTTATCGTTAAATTAGAGTTATCTTTCTAGAGTAGATAAATAAAAATATTCGATATTCGATAGGTATTCCGAGAAACAAACGTTAATTCCATCCACGAACTTGGCATTTTGATCTCATTTCTAGATAAATAGTATATATCGCGTATATATTTATCGTATGTGAATATAACATAATTTCATGGAAATTCGATGGAGGTGAATCGAATAGTTGATAATAAAAAAAATAGAATCGGATTAGTCATTAATCTTTGTGAAACGTCGTTATCCGGGTTTAATTTTAACACGATTTGGCGTGGCTTGGATCGTAACTCGAGTATAACGGATACGTTTGTTGTGCACGATTTGCTGGATCGAAAATTACTCGACCGAGCGTGTAATTCGATGCGGCGAAGGAATGAGAAAGAAATGGAGGACGCGATGAAAAAGAGAGGCAGCGTGGGTGTGCATACGATGTCGGCCATGTTGGAGAAACACAGCGGGATATCCGCCGCGCCCACAGTCCAGAGAGCTCGACTCGATCGACGTCGAGCTCGTCTCGCGCATTTCACCTGCCACCACTGCGCGCCAATCGCATTTACCTACGCCTTTAATTTTTCTTCCATTATTCCATCGACACGTCCGTACATACCTCCCTCTCTCTCTCTCTCTCTCTCCAGTTCTTCTCTTTCGTTATCATTCGTTATAATGGCCAAGTTAATAACGCTCTTAAAATTCGTTGGCGTGTAAAAGCGACTTTGGTAGAAAGATCGGCAGAAATGACTGTATCAAAGGTTGTAAATATGTTTCGAAAATGCGATATAGAAAGAACGAGTATCTCTTGCATCGAGATCTTCGGTTCTATCTTAATTAGTTATCTTGAAAAATATTTTCCCGCTCGATTGTTTCTTCGTCTCGGAATAACAGGTGTAACGATCTCGCCGCTCTTAAATCGATCTGTCTTTCGAAAAGACTTTGCTTCTGCGGGACACGAGCCGATGACTGTACGTTTTATAACTTACTGCATCGAATGTCGATCATACAACACCGTGATAATGTAATTACTCTCCCCATTGTCGCCGATGACAACGAGTGTAGGCCAATCTTCTCCAATAATCAAACGCTTCTTCGCGGAAACGACGAGTTATCGACGGTATATAGTATCGAGATCTATTACTACGTTCGAGTGAATTTTACCGAGTGATGTTTGATCGATTATGGGATCAGTTAAGTTCTTCGTACGATTCTCTACAAATAACTACGATATCGCGTAATAATAATATTTTCCCTAAAAAAAAATATAGTTGAGAAATTAAATTAAATTAAGTTAAGAAATAAGTTAATTTTAAAAGGTTAAATGTTCTATTAAATTTCTACGAAATTATGTTATTGTAACATTGCATTACGATAGATATATATCGCGTAAAGTGTATAAATAAAAATAAATTTATCGTTGATATTGATATTTACTCGAAATCTTATCTACTTACGTGATTAATAAAGAAACGATAATTAATCGTTTTATCCATAATAACTTACTTGATCTTAGAAATTAAAGATTGTAAGATATTTGAGTCTATCATAATCTCTGTAAAAATTTTTATATAAAACGGATATTTTAATTTATTAAAATTGGATAAAAATAAAAGTAATTTTTTTATATCGTCATAAAAATTAATACCTGTTGTAAATATGTTTCGTTATTGGAAGAGACGTTTCGTTATATATCCTATATATCCTAGAAAGAATGTTTTCGAAATACGGGTTTTATCAACGTAAATAAATATTACAAACTTCATGGTGATTTTCTTTCCTATAAAACCGCTACCGTCGAAACGTGACATAGCGATTCCTTATTTTCACGTGATTTTTCACGTGTGCTCTTCTCGTTCCGCTTTGCGATTTGCTACTACGATTTCCTTTTTACCACAATTGTTATTTCAATGTTTCACAATTTCTTCGACTGATAATTCTGTTTTATCGCGTTCATTTAATACGATTCAAATATTCGTTATTTCGACGTTGTTGTCAATATTTGATCAAAATAAAACGGTATATACGACGGTATATACGATACCGCAGAGCGATTAAAGACAAAAGATACGATAAAAGATAATATCGATAAGCGTAAATAGTACACATGCGTTCGTATCTGATAGCAAAATCGTAGTTTCGAGTAATACTCGAAAATTACATGTTTGCATACTTTTTTTTTTTTTTATATCTTGAGCATTTATATATTACAGGGAAAAAATAATTTCTCTATCGCGTAACGATACGAAAACGGTCGAAGTAAAAATTTGAAAAGAAAATATCGCTACAAGATGAATCGCGTTCATTGAACAGTGGGTAGAGAGTTGGAAAAGTGGGTTGGTGGTAATAAGTAATCTTTACAAATTTATCGGTAATCTCGTTATGGCGTAACGCCACCTCTGCCTACTACCTTTCCACGCTTGTTGTGCGTCCAATCTTAAAAAGACGCACTTCTTCGGTGAACCTGTCAAGATGTACCTGGCTTTGGACGATAAATAGGCCTAATGGTAGTTCTACCGTTAGGTTGACCAGGTATTATCCTCGATTTTCACGCCACCCTTTCGTTTCTATTTCCAAAAATATCCACAGACAGGTTACTTCCACTTTTCTTGTAAATAAAGATAATCATCTAACCATTTCAATTCGTTCGTTATTTTTATTCAAAAAAATCAAGAGAATCAGAAATGCGTACAATTTATAAGAATGGTAATATTCACTCGTTTTTTCTCAGTAATAAAATCCCCGGTATTTCCAGATATTTATCATTATAAATAATGTATTAGAACAAAATTGCGGATAAAGCGTAAATAGTTTGTGGTAAGTGTGATGGTGCCGTTAAATTTCCATTGCTAAACGTATATGGTTATACAGTTTGATACAACGAAAACTCTCACATGCATATTTATTATATAGAAGAACAATAATAAATGTGCGAAATTCAATCAGATTAAAGATGCAAAGCGCAAAGTGAAGTAAATGAAAAAAATTCTAGCCAAGGATCTTTCTGCACTGGTTGTGGCAGAAGCAACGACTTGGCCGTGAATAAAAGGAAGGAACCGTGGCAAATGATGTTTCCGCAAATCTTGCCTGCTGTTCATAAATTACTTATTGTTGGTATTCGCGTAGTTAGAAATACTAGCTTTGGACTATTTTGCGGTAGACCGAGATAGACACTGACCGCTAATGGGTCCCATGGGTCACGCCTACTTATCTTCTCGCTTCTTTCGAACAAGGGAGCCTCGAAGAGAGCCGTTTTTCCATCCGTTCAATGGAATGCCACTTACTACTGTTCGCATTTGGCGAAAAGTAATTAGGATGTAAAGGAGCGAGAATAAAACTGGGTTCAAGATTAATACAAAATTGGTAGAAAATCTGTATTCATCGTATATTCGCGTATATTGTTGTCCGTCAACAAGAGAATTTCGAGAATCGAAACGATCGCGAAGGACAGAGAAGAGAGATCTAATCGATCGTTGCACGCTGGTGGAGAGGACATTTCGTTAAAAGAAAAAAGTGTCCCGTTAAACGCGATTGAAAAGTTGAATCGTTACAAGGTTGATTAAAAAAATTGAGCAACTTTCTAAAGGCCGTTGCGAAGAGAGAGCGCGAGAGAGGAGATTCAAAAGCATAAAGCATTAATTTCCTGGTTTTAATTAATGCGTCGTGCACGCAGCCGTACAGTAATGGCGGCTGAACCGTCCTACCAAGAGGGGATAAAGGAGGGGGAAGAGGGAGGCGCGGCTAAAAGGGGAATTTGATTAATGATCCTACAGGATCTGGGACGCGAGGAGGGAGAGAGGAAGCGTATCCTAGGGGACGCCTGTCTTGCCACAGAGCACCGATCACTACCAGAACATACCTCCTCTCTGCACGGAACACATTTTTCACACTTTTTCAATACATTTTTGCGTTCGATATTTTCGAAAAATAGTTTCCACCATTTATTTTTGCGCCCTGAAAAGCGAACGACACGACAATCTCTAAGATAAAAATTCATTCTAGATTCATCTTTGCGCTTTACTTTTCCACCAGGATCCAGAGCTAGTCCAAAATGGATCGAAATCCGTAAGCAAACTTTTTCTACAAATTTCTGTTCAATGATAAATCGATAAATTGATATCGAAATTGTTGAATATAATTGTAGACGCGTACGCAATAATTACTCGTCGATAACAGCTAAGAAGACAACGAGGATACGATTGGGAAATTACGCTTTTAAAGAATTCGGGCATCGTTGATCGTTTCATCGATGAATCATTTTGCGAAAAATGAAGAAAAAGAAGAAAGAGATGATCGTCCATAGGAGGAGAACCGAAGAAAAATAGTTTGGCTATCGACACGACGGGCCGAAGGGA